AAAAAAAAAAAAAAAAAAAAAAAAAAAAAAAAAACAAAAACTGGTTATCAAGTGTATGATGTGTTGAGATGTTAATTTTCAAAACAACCCGACGTAGATGATTGGTTTCGAGAAAGACTTGCTTGAAAAGCTCAAATTTTCAAAGCTACGTCGAATTTTAAAACATATGGGATAAACAGAATAACCAAATTGCATTAATAGTCCAAGCATCCACCACATCATCAAATTTGAAGACAAAAAGAGAAAAAAATAAAGCATGAATTGAATTGTTCAAAAAAGAAACACGGGAATTGAAATGATGCTAAAGCCAAACGTTTCATAAGTTCATGTTGCGGTGGTGAATCTATCGAAATGGACTTATTCCAAATGTGCTTTCTTTGGTCCATTCTCTTCCTCATTAACTTGCTCCTTGGTTATTACTGGATGAACTGCTGCAGGTGGATCAACAGAAGTAGATGGCAGCGCTGCAACATTGCAAAACCTCACCAGGTGCAAAAGCTGATCTTTGTGTCTCCACTCCAGGCAGATCAGCTTGAGGGACATCCGCAGCTCCCTATTTACAAATGTACGAAATACAAAGATTATATAATTGTTACCGGTGCACGCTCTTGTGTAGTAAATATACAGGAGACGGTGAAGGTTTGGTGCTTTGGAGTGAAATTAAAATCGGTTACCTTGAGCTGTCAATAAAAAATAAATAACTAAAATCAATAGGTAGTTGTTGATAATAAGTTATACCACAATATACGAAACTTCGGAAGCTTGAATGTTGGTAATTCTAGCCATTCCCTCATCAAAAGCCACAAAAACAGTAGAACCAGTCTGGTCAGACACAGAGAATTCAACACGGGACCTGTAGACATGACATTGTACAGGATTAGTTTCAGGAATATATAGAAATGAGTTATAATCTGAGAGAAAAACAAAGATGTAAATTCGCTGACCTCTGTACACCCACAGCGTCAGTCTTATTACATACGGTACATGTGAATGAAGATATCTCTAGTTTATTTGAACATCGCGAGCAGCCGATATAACACCAACCTTTATCTGCATGAATTTCAGTCCCTTTGGCGGTGCAGAGGAACTCAATTATCTCTGAAAAACCAAAGAACACATATAATGAGCTGGGTTATTTCTTTGAGTTTGCAATATATATAATGGGGGCAGTCACCTGAGGCTGGGCAGTGATCTCATATTCATTAAGCTCAGAGACTATGAGTGGTTCAACTTTCTAGGCATGTACCACCTTTGAAGACGTTGCTGCTTGGTCTGTGCCATTAACTATCAATCTGAAAGGGGGCTAAGCATAGAGAGATAGGCAGAGAAATAGAAAATAAAATGAAATATATTTTATGTGGACGAAGAGGTGTTTGTCTAATTAGAATAAGGGATATTAACATGTCAAACATCTCTTTGCATACTTCTCTCTCAGAGTCAAAGTAGATATGAGTTCCAGATGTTGAGTTGAGGAATAACCGCCCTACAAAGACGAAGTTTAGTTCATGTGAAGCTATGTATGTCGTAAAACACATTCTATGTACGAAAGAGACAAATAGTATATGTAACTGAGCCGATCAAAAAAAGAAGATATATGTAACTAAATAAACAACACAAAAGCAAGTTCTTAACGTCCAACTATCTTTGAACTTATGCTGGTGGCAAACACAATTCTTAGCTCAGGACCACTTAGAAATTTGTTATGAAATGCAAGAGCCAAAGAGTCGAACATACTCACACACACGGTTAAATCACTGGAAAAATAAAATTATATTAAATCGCATGAGGTATACGTTGGAATATAGACCATTAACACTCGAGATTTAGCAATCCTAAGTACCTTTCAAGACGTAAAGTAAGCATTACATGCTGTACCCCATGTGTACGTTGACTGTGCTCCTTATTGCACTAACTTCACCAAGTATGTCTACGAATTTGTAAAGTGGCAATTCGTTACTCAAGTGCCAGTGTGTACCTTTGGACATCACATGGTTCTCAATCCCTCGAAACAAAAAAAAGTTTACCATTAGGCTATACATAACACGTAAGCAGACGATGTGGAAGAAAAATCACAAAGAAGCAAAATAAAGATGAGGTGCTTTGCTCTACCGGATTCGATACTTCCTTTCACAAGCTCGGCGAATCCTAGTTTTAGCTGTGGCAATTGGCAAACCAAGAAGAAACACAAAACTTAAAACACCCAGGAATCGTATCAAAAAGCCTATCATTGTCGAGTTGGTAATTAGCAGAAACTATTCTTCTTGCTTTCGTCGAGGATGTGTGGTTCATCGTTGGGAGCTTGCAAAATTATAGGAGAGCTTCCGACGGTTATAGTGGGAGATGATGTGCTCGATTAAATGAGAACTGAGGACATTGTGGAGGATGATAGGCGGCTCTGAAAGAGTTTTTCTGAGCTCTGAATGTCAATGTTCAAAAAACACGAAACCCTACACTCTTCTGGGCTAGAGCAAAATATTAGTAAAAGAGCCCAAACAAAAGACAAAAGAACAGGCCCACACAGCTAAAGGATCAAAAACAATCGTAAGCAAAATATTCTGGAGATGCCACGTGGGGAAAAACCCCCTATGTTAAAAAGTGACGAAGATAACTTAATAGGGCAGATAAATTAACTTTATTAGTATAGATTATGATACTCTTTGGTACTTGTGATAATTTTTAATACACTGGTGTAGATTGCTTGGTTTGAGTGCACAGCAACCATAGCAACCATAGATGATGTTGTCAGTGGTTCATCTTGGTATTATATTTCATGTGGTGTGTGCCATACTAAGGCAACCAAAAGACTTAAGTCTCTGATGTGTAAGAAGTAAGGGAAAGCTAAGATTGCTGTAGTACCAGAGTAAGTGTTGCATTGTTAGTTTCATCTGCATATTGTCAGCATTTACACTTTATTTTCTTTCATGCCAGGTATCTGACCAAGATCCCTGTCTATGATAATAGTGACCAGGAAATATTTGTCATCATTGGTGATGCTGGGTTTGAATTAACCGGGCATCATGCATGTGAATTAGTGGCGAACCACTTTGAGGTAATTACATACCTGTTAATCTATTTGCACACATTTCTTTAACTCCCAACTGTTTTCCTTCAATATTAGTCAAATGAGAACATTGGAGATGATCAAACCATGCCGGTTCCACAAGCTCTAACTGACACCATTGGACAGACACATAAGTTCCTTGTGAAAGTCTCAAAGCATAACCTCCAAAGCTTGACTCAATCCATTACTGTGACAAAGGTCCTCCCACCGGAAGCTCTAGAAGATAATGCTAATCAGGGCCGTGCTTGTTAAACAAAATTTAAAGCATTGGCTTAGGGCATCACCTGATGCAAAATTTATATATAGGGCATATTTATAGAACTTTATTTTGTATGATCTCTTGAAATCTGTTTGTTAAATTTTTATTTAAACTTAAATTAAAATTACAACTAATACTTTTAATATTTTTTCTACAATCACAATTTGATTCTAAAACTGATTAACTACAACTAGCCTACATTTACAAAGATATTTATTTTATTATTGTTTATTATTGTACTTCTTCTGCATATGTTATTTTTATATGTTATGAAAACATATGATAGAATCATATTCTTTTTGAACTGAAATCACTATTACTATCTCGAGATGTTTAATATATTATTCTTTATTCTAAAATTGTAAAATACTTTTGTGATTGAAAAATATTAGTAAATATAATTTTTATTAAAAATAATATTTTGATTTATTATATTTTCAAGCTAACATTGTAAGAATTATTTTTGAGTAATTTTTCCTATGAAAATTTTAGTTTACAGAAAAAATTGCATTAGTCCTTGGCTCCTTGCAAAACAATTTTTTTTTTCACAAAACAATTTTTTATAAGTTAAATATTTATTTTTGGCCTAGGGCATACAAAACCCTTGTCACGACTCTGATGCTAATGCTCCAAAGTCTGCTGAAATGTTGGAGCCAGTAAGTGAAGAATGTGGTCCTTCCATGGGCATTGGAGATTCTTCAGGTGAGGGTATCAAAAGATCCACTGACAGTGTTGAACCAGAAGTTTTCAAACCTGCCAGAAGTGGCTAGAAGACCTCCTGGTTACCCTCTCTAGCAGTGAATTCTTCACTGCAGTTTAAGTATTGGTTTTGCATTGACTTTGCTATCTTTATATTTGCATCTTCAGACTTTTGTTTCATTGGAAAAATTAGCTATCTTTACATTATATTTTAATCAAGTTCAGAGGATTTTAGACTATGTCTTTCTTTGGAGTTTTGGTATGACTCTTGCTTGCTACTGTTTTAGTAACTAAATATAAATTGATCTATCAGAATAACTGATCTATAAGTTTAGCTTGCTACTGTTTTTAAATACAACTTTATCTATCAGGAAAGCTAAATATTTGGTATAGTTTACTGTAACTGCATTTATCTATCAGAGAATCTAAATATTTGGTATAGCATACTGTAACTGCATAAGTATCTTTTCGTTATAACTTCTAATGTCTTTTGAACATTGTATAAATTGTGTGTTATTCATAATTGTTTGCACCATTAAATCATTATAATTTTTCAAAACTTCAAACTGTTACAAAATTAAGCTCTTTTACTTTGGTGGGCAAATCTATATTATAATGATACAGTTTAAAGGCTCCTTAAGGTGTCCACATAGGCAAATTGTGGGCCCTATATTTTTATATTAAAATAGATAGTTTTTCTAAAATGGCTATAAACAAAGAATATCAGTTTAGTCAAGTGGTCTAAGGCCCTATATTTGGTCTGCAAGGGCATGGGTTCAATTCCCACTGCTCTCATGTTTTATACCTACCTTTATTCTGTTTGTTCTAGGCTCCACAGCACGCCACGTCAGCAGTTTTGTGGGTCCCGTAGATATTTTTTAAACACCCATAGTCTTGGTAAGATGATTACAAACAATGAAATACACTTTAACCAAGTGGTATAAGGTGTTTAATTAAGTATACAAGATCATTGGTTCAAACCACGCAGCTATCATGTATTTTTGATTTTTTTTTTAATTTGAGTTATTATCATATGGACTTTTTGTTTATAAGATTTTTATGTTTCTTTTTGGGCTTATTTTTTTAAAGATCAAAATAGTTGGATAAACCATAAATCTTAACAAGTTCAAACCCAAAATAGTTAAAAATGAATCCAAAACGAACAATAAAAAAACAAAAAAAAAGCAAGTCTCACGCGGATGGCTTAAAAAACCTTAAAACTATCCTACTATAATATAGCTCAACCCAAAAATAATTAAAAATAAATCCAAAAACGAACAGACCAAAAAAAAAGTGAATTGCACGCGGGTGCCTACGTGGATGGCTTAATGAGGCTTGAATAATATAGATTAGTAGCACAAAAAGTTAAATCATTGCACATATTTCCTAATATATATTTCCAAAAAATTTGTATGTGAGATAAAATAAAAAAAAACAACAAAAATTAATTATTTTCGTTATTTATTAAATGAATATGTAATTTCTCTTACATTTTAATAACTACTATAATTTCATTGAAAACATTCCTCANTTTGTATGTGAGATAAAATAAAAAAAAACAACAAAAATTAATTATTTTCGTTATTTATTAAATGAATATGTAATTTCTCTTACATTTTAATAACTACTATAATTTCATTGAAAACATTCCTCACCACCGTCACCACCGATTCCACACTCCGGCGAATGGATTCCCACAGTCGATGACGCCGTAGATAAAAATGGCACATCATTTATGAACAAAACTCAAACTTACAAAAAACCATATATAAAAACCTATCTAATGAAACTTAAACAACGAATATTAACTTAATTAAGGTTATTTTCAAATTGATAAATCGTTTAATACAAATATAAATAATAGAAATATAGAATTATATCAAGTTTTGACATACGATATAAAAACACGAAATTCTCCATTTCATTATTATTTGGTGTCATTAGAAGAATCCACTAAACCGACAATCGAAAAAATACACGCAAATATAATGATCCCGGCTCCGCGCTTGCGCGGGGAGTATGCAACTAGTTTATAACAAAGTTGTGGTTCGTTTTCAAACATCACATCAAAATAACTTATTTAGTCTCACAAAATGATAAGATGGAAAACCTCAAACGAAAATTTTATAATTTGGTTATACGCTCCATTAGTCAAACCGTTCAATTAATTAAGAGAATACATGGAAACCCTTCTATTGTTATACGCTCCATAGATTTAAACTTTACTTTTTTTTCCTCATTGTCTTAACCTTAAAAAGAAATCACATAGTTGAACCTTTACAATTTTAAATTATTGGAAATTTTCTTCAAATTTAACTCAAAATAATATATTATAACCCACATATTGTATCCATCATTCTATTTTGTTTTCTCATTTCCACCCAATGAATTCAAATTTATTATGGATACAAAAAACTATTCCATGGAAAATTAGTATTTCTTTAATGCTTCCAACAAAAATTAGTTAAACTGAACAAATAAAATATATTTTTTTAACAATTTTTCATCATAAAACAATTAAACATCAAATATTTTCCGCGTATAACACGGACATCACATCTAATTACTTTTAAAACTATAAAAGAAATAAAAAAATATCGGCGACATTAGAAAATCTAAGCATATATGCAAATATATGCTAATGGAAAGATAATTACGACTTTGAAATCAGAGAGATGTAGGTGCATTTCAAGCACTACAAGAAAATAGATAGATTTTAACTTCAGAACTTATTACTTTCGACTAAAAAACCGACAAAAACGTTAATGATAATCAAAATGTTGATAGTATAGTGGTATTTCAAGAAGGTTGATCCCCTTGTGATCTATATTCAAATGACATCTAGTACAAAATGTACATTTATGAAAATATGTTATTCTTTAATATCATGTTGTTCTTTAAATTGAAATATTAAAATATATTCCGATTGGGGGAGATTATGGAAATAACACTCAGATATTTTACTGTTATAAAAATATCATTTTCGACTAAAAAACAAAAATGTTCATGTTTTATTTAGTTGGTCAAAACTACATCAATTTCGACAATATTTTCCAGTGATTTTTCTGTGGTACTATTCAATATTATTTAACTAATTTAATTAAATAAAATTATATTAACTTTTTATAATAAGATATTTCTGCAATCTACTATTTTGAACCTATATTATTATTTACCATGTTATATATTGGTATGTTCATGCATAAAAAGATTGTTAAAAACATTTGTGTTCGAAATTTATTACGTTTTCTACATTTAACGGTATCTTAACGTTATTTTATAATAACTATCTTAAAAATTATCGTTTACGTAAATAAATATTCTCATTTACCGAATTCACCTATGAAAATAGTGTTTTTTTTTCTTTTCTTTTGAGTAATAACAACTATAATAATTACTTGATAATTTGTGCATTGCAGATGTTTTCACTTATGTCTCTTCAGGTTTTGCTTCAATTCTAATTTGCTCTGTTCTTTTGTCTTTTTTTGAGCTCGTTGTGTAGCTTTTTCCCGAGTTTGGTTGTTCTCAGGCCCAGCTTTGAGAAAGTCGAAAAACCATGAGCCGGAAGCACATAAAATTTCTAGAACCTGTACAAAAATAATACTAACTGAACTTAGCACTTTTTGGTTGATCAAAACAATTTTTAACTAACCGAACTACCGGAAATAACAAAAGTAATTGACCGAATTTTTTTATATTTTTACAGGGCTGGAAGCGCTTATGCTTCCATGGCTTCTGTCCACGACCGCTACTAGTTGTTCTCTGCTTACCTTGTCTCCGTTGTGGTCTATTCCGAGTGTTTCGTTTTTATTTTGAGAGTTGTGTTTCAAATTCCCATTGTCAACAATGGTGAGTCATGTCGTCGATTCGTTTTTTGTTTTCAGGTTCTCTTTAGTAAAATGGTTGGTCAGGAGGAAAGTCTCTCTTGTTAAGTAGTATTTCCAGGGTGAAGCCACTTTGTGTCGTTCGTTTTGGTTGTCAAGTTACTCATATTATGTCTGTTATTTCTTTGATAGTGAGACTTCCTTGTTTAGTTTAGTTTGCAGTGTCTCCAGTCTCTACTTTGGTTGTTCGGATTTGAATTCTCGTACTCTTTTTGAGACTTATGTTTTTAGGAATTCGAAGCTATTCAGCCAGTTTATGTATTCTATCTTGTATTTCATCCTTGAATCAATATTATCAAAAGAAGATAAAAAATATGCGGTTATCAAAAAGTATTATAATCACACGTTTTACATTAAACAAGAAGATATAAATTACACCAATCATCCAACCAACAAAAGCAGAACAAAAACATGAGTCCAGAACCTAGCTATCTTTTGATTTTCTACAAATCTCACGTCACAAAAACAAAATAAAACAAAAGAAGGTCAAATTAATGAAGAACACAACCATTGTGAAGAAATAACAAATTGGAAGATCCGTAAAGTTTAATGAATGAAATAAGTTAACGCCAAAGCCACCATCATTAGAACATACGCTACCCCCTGATCTATCGATGTTCCTGACAAATCCCAAATATCAAATATCAGTAATCAAAATTTCTTTTTATTTCTCTAAAATGAGAAAATGGAAATATATAAATGTATATTAAATGTAAGAGAACTGCCCAATATTAAATGTATAATACCATCGCTGGTGGGTGCCGGAGCAGGCGAAGGTGATTGCGCATGAGCAATCGGCAAGAGAATCACGGAGATGATGATGAAGATGGCGAGAATCTCCGACGGAAATTTCAGGGACGCCATTCTTTTTCTTTATCTCCGGTGACTATTCCGGCGAGGGAATCTCCTTTTTCTTAATACTGAAATCTCTCACAAAGAAAAATGCCGATTGGTGAAAGAACAAGGGAAGGCTAAGATTCGGTTAAATAGGAGTAAAAGACATACGTCAAGGAATGTGGGGTCCAGACTTCTTGGACCCACCTAACGCACAAATCCTCTCTGTCTAATCACTTGTTGGTGGGTGCGTTGTCTTTTTTAAAAAAAATATTTTTAATTTTTAATTAAGGTTTAACTAGAGAGATACGGTTAATCATGCTCTGTTTGAGAAGAATCAAATAAAAGAGTATCTATTAACAACCTGTTTCTCTCATACTTCTCTGCTTTTGCAATTTTCCCTTTCAAGAAGGTTTAGTGCATCGATCTGTCATTTCATTTTGTGAACTGTAATAATCGAGTTAAACCAAATCAAACACTCATTCATTGACAAGAATTCCAATCCATGTGTTTAAAAATGTTAGTTGGTTTTTGTTTACAGCCTGTTTCTCTCATACTTTTCTGCTTTTGCTATTTTTCCTTTCAAGAAGGTTTACTGTATTGGTCCCTAATTTCATTTTGTAAATTTAATAATCCGGTTCAGCGTTAATTAAACCAAATCAAACATTAATTCATTGACAAGAATTCCAATCAATGTTTTAAAAAGTTTGTTGGTTCTTGTTTTCTAAAAATATTTTGAATCCAGACAGATTATATATACACTACAAGAAAACACGTCCTTTACTAGGACGGGTTTTCCTCGTTATTTCCTCGTAAATGACCATTTACTAGGAAATAACGAGGAAACGTGTTTCGTCGAAAGACGTTCATCGTAAAACATATTTTCCTCGTAATTTCCTAGCTAATTTACGAGGAAAAGTTTCCTCGTAAAGACGTGGAAAAGGTTTCCTCGTAAGCTCAACGTAGACTTTCCTCGTAAGGGCATAGTAAACTATTTCCTCGTAACCTCGTAGTAGGCACTTTATGAGGAACTTGCTAGGAAAGTTTACGAGGAGTTTACTTCAAAACTTTTACGAGGATTTTGCTTCGAAACAATTTTTTCATATTTAAAAAAAAATATTTATAAATTTAAAATTATATATATTAAAAAAAATTAAAAAACCAAATTATAAATAAAGAATAAATAACAAAATATCTATAAATAACTAAATAATATACAATTAATTAATAAGTTTTTAAATTCATAATATACAATTAATTAAAAACTAAAAAAAAACTAAAAGGGATGCTGCTGATCTTGAAATTGGTGCACGAAGTCGTCGTCTCCAACGTCGGATGGCGGCTGTGACTGAGATGGTGGAGGCTGTTGGGATGGAAGGGCTCCGCTTTCCCGTCTCTGATGCAACACTTCCGCCACTTGCGGGTTTTCAACAGCCATAATGTCGAGGATATCCGTGAGCGTACTCACATGAGCATGCGTCGCCTGCAACTCCGTCCGCAGCTGAGCATTGTCATCGGCTTGTTGGTGAACATAAGCCGATGTCACTGCGGGGACATCGTTAACCGAGCCAAGCCCGATAACACGGCCCTTTTTCCTCGGAACGACCTGTAAATTAAAATATTAATAACGTAAGAAAAAATTTAAATAAATAGTAAAAATTAATATATTAAAACAAATTATTTACCTCCTCGTAAATCTTATCCACTTCAAGAGTGGATAATACGACCGGAGCCCCAGTCTGCTGAGTCAGCTGAGTCTGGCGCTCGTCAACTCGGGCAGCAACCTCGTTGTAGATCCGCTCGGAAGCAGGATCTACAAACTTCCCACTCTTCCTCCGGTGGGTCCGCTCGTAAAGGTCTTTCAGAGATGGAAGAACTCCTGTCTCTTTAGCCTTTATTTTTTTTAAAATTAAATATTAATTTAGAATATTAGAATATTCAAATAAAGTAAAAATTAAATAGTTATAAAAAAATACCATGTCTAGACGAACTCCCCCGTGAGGTTTTCGGTCTGTGGTGTGAAGTATCTTCGTGTTGCCATGCTCGTTTGTGGCCATGCGGTTCCCGGAGTTTGTATGGGAGGTTCTGATCGAATCCGGCAACGCCCAATAGCTGATGAGGCCATCCCACACCGTGGTTGTGAGGCAATCGGGTTTCCCGCGCTCGTAACCGTTCACCTGATTTAAAATAATTAGAATTAAAGTCAATAATATATATTTTAAAAACTATAATTAATATATATTATAATTTTTAAATTTATACATGAAAGTCACCCTTCCAGTTGTAGACCATGTCGCACAATCGTGCTTTTGCCTTGGTCTCGAACTCTAACTTCACCCGCTGGTGAATCCCAATAGACCAACGGTATTTTTGCTCCAACCAGAAAAAATAAAAGACGGATTAGTTCAATAATATTCATAATTTTAAATGATTAAAATAAATTAAATTGATTTACTAAACTTACAGCGAACGATTTGAACCACGTCTTTTTGGTGTGGCTCGCCTTCAGCTTCCAGTTTGGAGCTGCATCGGGAAAGTATCCCTTGATACAGTCCGTGACGCTAGATCCGACAGAATTGTCAAGACCAAACCTGGAAAGACAGAAAATAAATCATTAATCAGAATTACATATATATACCATAATACTTTTTAAAAATTAATTAATTAATAAAAAAATTAAAAATTAAAACATACCATAATACGTTTTGGCCGTCCCGTCGGAGAGGATCTAACTCTGGCAGCCCTTCTCTGCCTGGAAGGACCAAGATATCCTCCACCGTGTACACCGCAAATGGTGCGTTCGGCGGCACCTGCAAGTCAGGATGAATCTCGGCCGGTGGAGGAGGAGGAGGAGGAGGCTGAGGAGGTGGCTGCTGAGACCGGGATGCCGTAAAACCTCCCTGAGTCTCGGGAACTCCCGAAGGTGAACCACCGGGAGCTGACGAAGACGAACCGGGCCTGAATAGATCCGCATAATGAATCCCCTGATCTACAGGCCTCCTGGACTGAGCAGCAGCAACTTTGCTCTTTTTAACCATCTAAATTTAAAAAAAAAACAGAAAACATTAATTTTCGTATAAATTTGTATAATTTTTACAAACAGTTAAACAAACGTAATTTAAATTTCCTAATCTAACCAACTAATCTAAATTCCCTAAACTAACCACCTAATCTAAATTTCCTAAACTAACCACTACCTAATCTAAATTCCCTAAACTAACCACCTAATCTAATCACCTAACTAGGAACTAGAGAGTACCTTAAGAGAATATGGAGAGGAGCTTACTATGACTGAGAAGTCGGATTGCTCGTGTATATATAAGGATTTTTGTTTCCTCGTAAAGCTCTAGTAATATTACTAGGGCTTTACGAGGAAACAGCTATGCCCGTGTTTTCATTTCCTCGTAAGGTCCTAGTAAGGTCCTAGAAATAATATTACTAGGACTTTACGAGGAAAATCTTTACGAGGAAATAGTTATGCCCGCGTTTTTTTCCTCGTAAAGTCCTAGTAATGCTTACGAGGAAATATCTATGCCCGTGTTTTCTATTACTAGGGCTTTACGAGGAAGGGATTTGTAATTCCCTAAACTCGAAACCCCAAACCCCAAACCACAACTTCCTTAACTTATAACCTCTTCTACAACTAAACTCTTAACCTCTTCTACACGTAAATCCCAAATTCATTTTTTTTATTAAACAAGCTTAAAAACATACGTATAATTCAACTCTTTTTTTTGTTATTAAGCAAACTTATAAAACATACTTAATTGAAATTGGTTTTTGTGATTAAACAAACTTATAAAACATACATAATTCATTCGGATACATTCTCATAATCCGTAGAAACATCATCATTTTCGGCAAACTCGTCCTCAACACCGTCGTCCGTTGAGTGATTAGGAACATCTTCGTATTCACGATTATGCGGATCAATGAGTAGGATGTCATCAATTTCTGCTTCAGGTTCCTCGATTTCATTGGTGTTTTCTTCTTGCAATGGTGGTTCTTCTCCCTCGATTATCCGTCCTCGAGGTGTTACTTTGATAACAGCTAACCAGTTTATTTCCGTTGTAGTAATCCGAGGGTATGGAATGAAGCAAACTTGATCTGCTTGGGAAGCTAGTATGAAAGGCTCAAATTTGTTGTACCTGCAAAAATTAAGACAACAGAGAAATTATTAGTTCTCAGAACATGCATGTACATATGTCAAAAAAGAATTTGTTGTACCTTCGTCCACCATTGACGTCAACTACACTGTTCTTGTTAATCCGAACACCTCTGTTGACGACGGGGTCGTACCACTCACACTTGAAGATAACGCATTTCAAACCCATACCTGGGAATTGAACTTCATAAATCTCCTGCAAGATCCCGTAGAAATCTGTTTCGCCTTTCACACATATTCCATAATTACTTGTCGCCCGGTGTCTACCATAGTCATAGGTATGAAAAGTANTCTTGTTAATCCGAACACCTCTGTTGACGACGGGGTCGTACCACTCACACTTGAAGATAACGCATTTCAAACCCATACCTGGGAATTGAACTTCATAAATCTCCTGCAAGATCCCGTAGAAATCTGTTTCGCCTTTCACACATATTCCATAATTACTTGTCGCCCGGTGTCTACCATAGTCATAGGTATGAAAAGTATATCCTCGGGTGAAATACATCGATGATGTAGTGACCTTTGCAACTGGACCTTGGAGTAATTCGCGAAACCATGCGGGATACTAAGGATCGTCATAATCAACCTGCAACAAAAAGTAATATAGCTAGACATATTAGACTTAATTTGTCGTAATGCATGCATAAAATTTAAGTAATAATAAATACATGTTTCCTCAACCACTTGATAAAGTGTTGATCTTTCCTTTTGTCTAATTCAGGTGTCTAATTCAGGTATTGCTTCCTCGACTTGAGTCACAAATTGGCTGTAAAATCATATATGTTATGTTATATATTTAATATTGAAATATATGTATATATATATATATATATAACTGTGTATGTTTATATATTTACCTTTCAAAATAAGAAATCAATGGATGCTCGCAATTAAGAAGAATAGAAAGGTGTGCACTATGGACGTCTTCATCACTCGACCACCAAATCTCTTT